CGGCCAAATATCCATTCGGTTAAATATCCGTCCGTCAAATGTCCATTCGGTTAAATGCCCGAGTACCGAACGAATTCAAGAAAAATTGAATAAAAAGTTTTAATCACAGTATCTTGCCATTAGTCTTTAAAAAAAAGTTTTATGTTTTAAATATATACACAGGGTGTAGTGGGTAAATTGTCGCCATTTTATATTTTAAATTTCGCGCATGCGTGTTGTTTGTTTTTGATTTTGTCGCCTGTACAGTATAGTAGTGTCAGTTGGAAATGTCTGTGAGAAAAAAAAGCACCTTGACGCAATTCACTCCGCCAGAAATTTGGAAAAGATATTCTGTACTGCTTGGCATTCGCGCCGGACTCTCCAATACTGAACATTTCAGAGTGTTAGGGTGTCAATATACGGTCAATGTAGAGGATTCGGAAAGAGTTGGATGAGTCTAATGGCGATTACGATGCTGTTTGGAGTGATCCCTAATTATGGCGATGTTATGCCTCCATTCATCTTCCCAGATTTCAACTCAAGAAATAAAGTGCCTTGAAGAGGTAGTGTTGCCCCGTGTCAAGAGGGTGGCTGCTGGCAATAGGACTCTGCACCATGCCACATAAGCAGGAGAACCCAGTCATGGCTGCCAGACAATTTCCGCGACCACATCACTCCTTATATCTTGCCACCTAAACCCACAGACTGCAACCCCCTTGATTATGGGATGCGGTTGAGCGATAGATCAACAAAACACCTTGTAACACCAAACATGATCTGAAGGCAACGATTATGGAAGTATTCATTAACTTAGAAGAGTCGCAGGAGATTCCGAAGTTGTCTGGGGGCCGAGGTTGAACTTAATGGCGATTTTATTTCATAAATCTACACTTTAATATTTCAAAATATGTTTGTGTGATTTTAGTAAATATATCTGTTAAAATGAGATGTCAGTGTTATTTTCATTTATAAATAATTTATTTGATAATTCATCCATCGATATTCTATATATATATATATATATATATATATATATATGTATGTGTGTGTGTGTGTGTG